AATAGGATTAGCAACCAACTTGCTTTGATAAAGGTAAAAAGGGTGCTTCATTACTTTCCTTGGAACTGAAGATAGGTCCGATGGCTTTAAAAGTCAGAATTCAGAAACTTTAAACTTCAATTGCGATCTGAATATGAGAAACATGAAAATACAAGAAAGCTGTAAAAGTAAGCCAAGGTAGACTATAGTTATGGGTAAATTCCCCTTTTAACTCTTTCAGTAACAGGTGAACTGTGGGTGGGTGGGTGGTATAATGACTTCCTTGCTTATCATTAATTTACAGCTAAACTGATTCTGAAATTAGACTTTGGTAGCCAGAACTAAAGGCTAAACCCCAAAGTTACTGTTCCTTGATTCCTTATTACTTACAAAGGCGTGTGAGTACTTCACTGTATGATTACTTCTTAGCTGAGCCAGTTTCAATTTACAGAGTAAAATTACATAGTATCTCCTGAACTACTGACTTTATATAATAGTGGGTAGTATGTGTTAGTTAAAATGTGGCTAATTTGCAGTCTACAAGTATAGCTCCAATAGTTTCTTGCCTCTAGCTTCTCAAATAACATCAAAGGCTTTGTGATAAATGACCCCTGTACCACAGGGGCAGGTCCACTTCAGCCCATAAAATGAATGAAGTTTTTTATACCTCTTTGGATGTTTTAAGAAAACAATTCACCTGTTCCTGTGCAGTCATCAACAGCTTCATATGCTTACCTTCATATTTTAGAAGTATGTGCAACGTGTTGCTAAACTAGCTCTGTTTCCTCAGTTAAAGTGGATATTCTTCTGTATGTAACAGCCCCTCACTTTGTCATTTATTGTACTGTAAAACATAAGGCAGCAGCCAGAGAAAGGAGCCCTAGCGGGAGCAGGGTTCTTTCTTCCAAAATCTCACTGTATTCTCAGTTGCCATTACAGACAGTAAAATATATTTATGTGGCTCAAGTGTGACTTAACTTGGTAAATTATATTGAGTCCTGGAATGGTTTAAAAGCCCTTCTGGCCAATCATATATATTTCTGTTTTTTATAAATTGTCAAGAAGCTACTGTGTGCTGGCTCTCAGCCACATCTAAGTTCCTTTTGTTTGCACTCACTTTTATCAGAGATATAATATTTTTATATGAAAGATCCCTGGACTGTATTAAGAGAAAGAAAGGAAGAATAGCTCATTAAATTTATTTTCTCTTGTTCCCAATCAGCAGAAGAAAGAAAAGTCCTCTATATTTGAGTTGGTAGTTTAGAATTTTTAGACATGGAGTGTTTTGAGAGATGGAAAACCCAGAACTTGTTGCTTTCAAGAGAAACTCTAGGAAGCTGTTAATGCACCTGAACCTATCAGTTTCTGGTGCATTCTGGTTTAATGACAGGCTGAGAAGAGAACTTAGGTGCATTTTCAACCTTTCTGTTAATAACATTTTGAAAGCTAACCCAAAGGCAATTTTAAAGAAGGCGGTGTCCCCAAAGTGAAGTGTGCCAAAACTCAAATGCACACACTGTATGAAGGCCAAACTTAGAAATGTTCTAGGAGTGAGACATGATGTAATATTATGTGAACAGGGTTTGGAGTCAGGTGGGTCTGAGGTTCATCACAAGCTGCAGGGTTTTGGCTTGGCCATAACTAGATCACCACCTCTAAAGCTTCCTTTGTTTAGGATGGCACTGTACCTCTCACAGTTATTGAGAAGGCAAATTCAATAACCCCTGTACATCAGCCTGCCCTTCACAGGCTTGAGAATCCTGGCTTTCCTGGTCCCAAGAAAGAATGAAGGAACCTGACTCTGGGACATGCCCTAGTAGGAACTGGGACCCACACGTGCAATGCACAGCATGGTAAAGGCAGGAAGTCCAGCCTGACGGTAGTTCTGCTAGATTATTTTAAGCAGGTCACGCCCTGTATCATGTGAGGGCGTCAGACTAGACCAAAACACATCCAGTCTCTCTAGCTCTAAACTTCTACATTATCTACTAAAACAAACAAACAAACCAAAAGAAAAAACTTAATGCATAAATCAAAGCACCAAAACCCCACTGCCCTAAGGAATGGTGTATAACAAAGAGATCACCACCCCCGAGGTTTCGGGCTTCTGCGGTTCACAGTGGAGGACCTAAGTCACACTACAGCGGTTTCCCCTCCACATCTGAGTGTCAGGTGTTCCCGGAAGGCTCAAGGCCAATGTCAGGCAGCGAAGGGTAGGGGCTGTCCCGGGAGAGAGAGGAAACCAGGCTTTCGGAGAAAGAAACTGGGGGGCCTAGGAGAAAAGCACCTGCTACATCTCACTGGGGATGCGGTCGAAGAGGAGGTTGGGCCTGCGCTGTGAGAAGTCCAGCGTCGAAACTCCAGACCCGACCTGGAGGGCAAGTTCACTGTCAAGGCACAAAGAGGGAAAAGAGGAAGCGGCAGACAGAGGAGGGAAGCGGCAGACAGAGGAGGGAGGTGGATGCGGGGCAAGGACCTCTGAGGGCCCCATTCCCAGCCACTCACCACGAGCGGGATGGAGCAGATGAGCACCACCAAGGAGGTGGCGATGAGTAAGATGACCATCTGGATCTCGGCGCCCGCTATGCCGCGGAAACTCCGGCGGCGGCGAAAGTCGCCGAGGCGCGGCAGGGCGGGGGAGGCGGCGGCCGCGCTGCTCCGGCAGGGGGCCCAGGGCACCGCGAGCGGGCCCGCCGCGTGGTGCTGCTCGGTGCCCAGCGACGTGCGGCGCATGAACTGGCGGTGCATGCGGAGCAGCGCACCGCACACCAGCACGTTGCAGAGCACGGTGGCGAGGATGAGGAAGGAGCTGAAGCCGGCGTACATGTAGGAGAAGGCGGCGTGCGCCGTCACGTTGGTGGTCCAGTCAATGAAGCACCAGGTGTCCGGGTACTGCAGCCGCGAGCTGCCCAGGCCCATGTTGGGCAGCGCGCAGAAGAGCACGTTGGACGCATAGACCGCGACGAGCGTGAGGCCGGCCAGCCGCTTGTCCACGTAGTGGCTGTAGAAGTAGGCGTGGTTGATGGCCAGGTAGCGCTCGATACTCATGGCACAGATGATGCTGAGGCCGGACAGGCTGAAGAAGAGCAGGATGAAGGTGCTGTACTCGCAGAGTGCTTCGCCTCCGGGCCACTGGCCCTTCATGTACGTGGCGATGGTCACCGGACTCACCAGCAATGTGCCCAGCAGGTCGGTGACGGCCAGCCCGCATACCAGCGTATAGAAGGTCGTCTCCTTCTGCTCCTTGCGCGACTTGCACAGCACCACGATCGCCACCAGGTTGCCCACCACCCCGAAGATGAACATCACCGCCGGGATGGTCACCGGGCTGTTCGGACGGTCGGGGGTAGAGGAGGCGGACGCATTGACCCCAGGCGTGGACATGGTGCTGGCCCTCGGTACGCAGCCTTGGAGTTCGAGGCTGGGTCTGGGGATGGTGGGAGAGACAAAGGCGCGGTGAGCAGAAATTACCCCTTGCCGGTGTCAGACCAGGGCCCAAGAAACACTATGCTGATGAGACAGGACGAACGACTGGACCCTGCACGGTGGACTGTAGCCACTTACCAACTTCGGCCACCGAAATCTCCAGGCTCCGGATACGTCCTGCCAGAAGCACCACTCTACTGCCATTAATATTTGTCGGTTGATACTGCCAATCTCTCCTCCTCCCCCAGCCCAACTCTCCCCACCGCCAAGATGAACAAGACCTATCTCTAGGGACAAGTGAGTGGTTCGCGCTTATTCCCGACAGATTCTGAGTCAATAAAATCCTCACTGAAAACAAGTTACGGAAGGCAATTTGGAAAGCGCACTAGCTCCTCCCCCGCCCCGCTGGAGGAGCGCCCGCCCACCGCTCCCGGCCTAGTGCCCCCAAACCCTGGTCCGTCTCACCTGTGGTAGCCGCGGCGGTGGCAGCGGCGTAGGACCCCAGGGTCAAGGCTCAGGTATCCACGACACGCCTCTAACCTGCCCTCAGTCTCGCCTCCTCAGTGTGGAGCTTGCCAAGCCTTTGTCTTTGAGAAGAGCCGGGTCTCGGTGGCTGCCAATTTTCCGGAACTGGGGTCAGAATGGCAAGCTTTCAAAAACTTGGGAGAACCAGAAGGGTCGCGGGATGGGTCAACGCAATCTGATCTTGGATTTCTTTCTTTCTTTCTTTCGTTCTTCTTTCTTCCGTACCTTCAAAGACGGGACCAAACTTCGAGGAGCCCGCGGGTCGGGTCCCCGGGCTGACAGCGCGCAGGTGTGGGGCCGCGCGCGCAGGTGGCACGGAGCCTCGGTCCCGGATTCGGACCACCCTCCTCCTCAGCCCTGGGCAGCACGGGCGGCTATCGGGGCTGGCGGCTGCCACTGAGGCTGCTTCCGACGCCCCGGAGGCGGCTTGACGTCCACTTGGCCTGAGGCTCTGACCTGGGATCTTTCATCTTCTTCCTCTTGGCTGCCGGGTTTCGAGCTCCGCTCTCGCCCTTCCAGCCTCTGTACAAACTTTTCTTCTGCTCCAAGTTTCCCTGGCGGAGGCGGGGACACACAGAGCGCGGCCCGGGCGCCCATTGGCCGGCCGGTGAGGGGGCGGGGCGTGTTCTCCGTCGCCTGCGCCGCGAGGCAGCTCGCGGGGCTGGGAGGCGGGGCTCCGAGCCGCGCGCGAGGACCCGCTCCCCGCGGCTTGCCCCGCCTCCTCCCGGCCGGGGTCGCGAAGACAGGGGCGCGCGTCTCAGGCTAGTGTGCAGAGTGCCGCCGCGGGCGGGGGCCCCGGGAATCCCAGGTGCTCTCCCGGAACCCTCTGAGCTACTCAAGACTCGGTTTCCAGAGGGGGCTAACTCTGAAACCAGCATCTCTTCTCCCCCACTGCCTCCCGCTCCGAGTCAGCAATTTCTCGCACCTCTGCACGTGGACCTCCACACCTGGGTGCTGGGAAGGGAGGTCGACTGCTTTAGAACTCCACCTTAGAGCGGCCCAGCTGTGCGCGCGCGCGCGCGCGCGCTCGGCTCTGGGGGAGGTAGGGTGGAGAGGAGCGGTGCGTGCGCGCGCGTGGCCCGGGGTTCCAAGTCGGGAAAGAGCGCGCACGGGACCGGGGGCGTGGATGGGCGGTCGCGTGCCAGGCTTGGGCGGGGGAAACAACTGAGAATCTATCCTCCAAAAGTAATTACAGTCGGTCCAGAAAAGTAGTTGGTTGGCAGTGCCCAGGCTGTGAGCATCGCTCCGTAGGGCATCCCCGGGTTTAAAAAAAAAAAAAAAAAAGCGCAAGAGAGACGGGACCGCCGCCTCTCCCGAAACTGGTGGCGGAGTCCTGCGGCTGTGGAGACAGGTGACCCGCAGGTACCACGTGGGACAGTTAGGGTGGGAGGCCTGTGTAACCGCGGAGATCTTTCTCCTCCTCCCGGGAACTACTCCTCCCAGTAAGAACGGCGGTCTGAGCTTCGAGCCTTGGCCCTGTTGTATTCACGTTGGGTACTTTCACCACGAAGCCTTTGAACCGCTGGCAGATGGGTGCGATGGGGATTTGAAAGTTTTTCCAGGGAAGGAATTGAACAGTCATTGTCTCCATGATTAACTCTTGGAACCGCCCAATAGCTCTACCTTTTTTCTTTAAGTAACAGTTTTACTTACTTGGTGGTGGGAACAGTGTTTTTGTAACAAACTCACTATTCACTTCTTTGTACTCTGGTTCCTAAAATCAAGACTGAAAACAGAAAAGAAACGATTGCAAAACTCCATGGTGTAATTATAACTGCTTCGCCGTTTTGTTTTGTTTTGTTTTTGTTTTTGTTTTTGAACAAAATTAAGAGATTCTGTGGGCCTTTTAAATTCCTAGAAAAATCTGTTTCTAAATGCCAGATACATGCATTTTAACATACTGCATTTCCTCATAGATTAAGCAAATAACTCGATTCTTTTATGTGATAAGCAGGTATTCATTCCTTAAATGTTATTTCATAAATAAACAGACCCCCTAAGAATTGACCTGGTTCTCCTTTTATTGTCAAATGGCACGGTAAAAAAAAAAAAATAATAAATAAATAAATAAATAAAATGAGCAATGGGAGAACCAGAAAGGGCATTCCAGACTTCACCTCATTACAGGACATGAAATACCTGGAATTACTCTTAAAGATACCACATGGATATATTAATATAATATTGTTCTATTGTTTATGCTATTTCCTCATGAATATCGGGGATTTGGAAGGAATCTATAAAAATAATTGCTGGCAGTTGGTCAGTTGCCCAGTCTTCTCTCAATCACCATAATAACCATTTCTGTTTGTCTATGTTTTCTGTGAGTAGTAAACTCTAAGGATGTGTCAGTCCTGAAAACAAGGTAACACTAGAAAAAGGAACCGGAACATTCTACCCCCATTCTTCCCTAATCCGTTGCATCATTATCACCCTGTCAGGTGGCTATCGGTAAATATAGGAAGGAGAGGTGGGAAGTTCTACTTATATATTCATGCTAATAAAAATATTTTTTCCATTTTTCATTCCATTTGAAGTTCCTCAAATGGAAAACAGGATTGGTACTTGTTAATTTTTTTTAAATTTTATTTATTTATTTATTTATTTATTTATTATGTATTTATGTATTTACTTGTCAGAGGGAGAGAGAGAGAGAGAGCACAAGCAGGGGAGCAGCTGGCAGAGGGAGAGGCAAACTCCCTGCTGAGCAAGGAGCTAGATGCAGGACTCCATCCCAGGACTGTGGGATTGTGACCGGAGCTGAAGGCAGGTGTTTAACTGACTGAACCACCCAGGCATCCTGATACTCGTTAAATTTTTAAGGGTGAAGAGTATATTAAATATAATAATAGAGGCACACTGCTGAAATGATTAGTGAGGTTACAAGTTTTAACATGTCATTGATAAGCTGGGCTTGTTATCAATGGAACCATCTTTTTTATACTGGTCTTTTAAATTTTCTTTCTACAGTAGTTCTAGGAAGATGGAAATAAATGAGAAACCAGGACACCAGATGAAAAAAAATTAATGAAGTTTACCTGTATCCTATTTTGCTGTATGATTCTTAAAGCTTAAGTTTAGCCTTCAGAAGTTGAATTTGAAGGTTAGGGAAACAACTATTTTATTTTCTTAATTTGGAAAACTGGAACACAGTGGTTCAGTTGCCCTCACATTCTTCCAGGAATCTATACTGCAAAAGGAAATGAAGAATTTTCATGACATGTAGACTATTTTTGTTCTAAAAATTATTTTCTATTCTCCCTTGCAGTTTTTACCTCAATCCTTATTTCTCTGCACTGGAAGACCTGGGTTCAATTCTTGAGAATTGTTTTAAATCCTTTTTGGAAGTTTAAACTAGTGTAAGAGCTGCCTAAGTGATCAGTCTGTTTTAGCTAAATATTTGCCTACTCTTTTGAGTAAACATCCCAAGGTGGGAACCTGTTTAAAAGCTAAGGCTGGGGGCGCCTGGGTGGCTCAGTGGGTTAAGGCCTCTGTCTTCTGCTCGGGTCATGGTCCCAGGGTCCTGGGATGGAGCCCCACATCGGGCTGTCCACTCAGTGGGGAGCCTGCTTCCTTCTCTATCTCTGCCTGCCTCTCTGCCTATTTGTGATCTCTGTCTGTCAAATGAATAAATAAATCTTAAAGAAAAAAAAAAAAGCTAAGGCTGCTTGGAGGCTACCAACAACATTTCCCTTGACTAATGTGAATCCTCCTGGAAACAAAGGGTTGGGTAAGGAAGAGGTAATTCCTGCGAAGAATCCCATTCCTGGAATGGGTAATTCCTGGTAATTCCAGCAGGATTAATCAGATCTGGCCTGGATCCCTTCCTAAACCTAATCTGGCCAGATCTTAAAGCACTAACATTCATGTAGCAAATCTGTGCAAATTGTGTTTGCTGTCCATCTTCCCTGACAGGCCATGTGGATACTAAAAACAGTGAAAAAGGCATCTGTCTGGTGCAAATAACACAGTGCTCTTGGATACAGTTGTCTTCCATGTGTTCCCCTATTTGGTTCAGCGGATGACAAGTGTGGCATTAACCTGAGCTTGGGCATGAGGAGAGGTCCACAGTTGTGGTTGTGGCCCTCCAAGGACTGCCCTCCCTTTTTAGTGGTATATTTCAAATGTGTGGTCCCCAATTATTACCACTTTCTGATGATGAATTTTAGGCTGAGTCTAGTGCCTGGAGTTCGCACATGTCAGTACTGTGCTTAACTCCCCGGCATCTTCTTGTGGAGATAAATTAACTGCAGTGGAGGTCAGTTGCCTCCAACTGACTCCTTTAGGTTGCTTCCTTCTCCAGCAGTTTTACTCCTCAAAATGTTGGTTTTCTACCCTCTTTATTTTCCCCCTCTTTGCTCTCAAGTATTTCTACAGCACTCCCATTGTGGCTAGGCCAATGGGCAAAGAAAGGATTGATTACTTATTGTTGCCCATTTTTGAAGATCTAGGTGGAGAGGGAAAGCCTTACTAGTTCAGGAGTCTCTTCTGTTGGAAGGCGGACATTCTGATTATACTTGAGTTTCTTGTCACACACCCACCTATCTCTCTGAGGCATCAGTCTAGGCCAGTTGGAAGGAGGAACCTGTGACTTGAGAGAACACGTGAATATGTATTCTGCTTACTGAACCCCTGCAAAAGAAGTTCAGAGCTCTTAATTGGGGAGCAGAGGGCGAAATGAAGTAAGATTGCCATCTGTTGGAATTCAAGCCAAAAATTAGTCTCTGGCCTGGCCTACTTCTTGACCTCCCACTTAATAGGTGTAGATCACAAAGCATGCTAAAGTGCTGAGTTGAAACTCTGCTGTAGTTTAAGAAGGTCTGAAGATATGAAAGTCTGAGGCAGGTCACCTCCTTGAAAGCAAAGGAATTAGATGGGCAGCTAATTTTATTGGAAAACTTTATTTTATTTTATTATTTTTTTAAGAGCTACAGTGTTTGGTTTAACAAGAAATGAGATTAGATTGTTCACATAGAAAAGCAATTTTAAATACGATTTTCTGATGCCAAGTTATTTTGAGTGTCTATTTTCCTGTAATAGATTATATATGATAAAGAGCTATAAAATTTATCTAAAGCATTTTTGCAGAAAGATTCATTCATGGACTCTAATAGAAGAACACCAAGTACATTTTGAGGTCATCTAATGTGAGGGCTGAGCATCAACTATGGATTTTTTTTCTCTCAATCGCCAATTAGTATAAGGTGTCAATTGTTAAGAAATAAAAAAAAATGTTGAAATTTTAGTAGCTGAGATACTTCTCAAAACTGTCTTCCTGTGTTAACGATTTGTGTTCATCTCAATCATATTACACTAGTGCCGCAGTGTTTTTAAAAGAACACTGGCAGTGCATGGTCTAAAGTGCAAGTCTCTCTAAACTGTGTTTAATTTTGACTTTTTTAAAAAATGATTTTATTTTTTAAGTAATTTCTATACCCTATGTGGGGCTTGAACTCAAAACCCCAAGATCAAGAGTTGCATGCTCTACAGACTGAGCCAGCCAGGTGCTCCTAATTTAAACTTTGTTAGCGGTTAGATCTTACCTGAGTATTCTACCTATGGATTAAAATGATTGTTTGCAGCCAAACAAACTATAAAAAGAATTATTTAGTTTTGTCTTCCCTTTCCTGGCTTGCATCTCATCTTTTGTTTTGTGTCCCAAATTGAACACTTTAAAAAAATCTCCCCTCCCCCAAAGAAACAAAATGTATTTTCCTCTTAAGGAGGAAGCTATATGCTAGATACGGTTTTACCTGGACACCCATAATTTTGGAGATCTCGTTTGCAGACTCCTTTAGTTTCTTACCTGCTGTATGGTCACCTGAACTTGAAGGCGTGGTGCTAAAAATGTCCATTTTATGAAGCGTCCATAAATCCTAGGTTGTCAGAGAAAGTCCAGGGATCTCTCTTTTTGGCTTAGGTGATGGACTGTTCAACTTTTAATCCCAAAGCAAGTCTTTTAGCCTTTGCCAAAGGTGAGTCTCAACAGAAGAAAGATTTAAAAATGTATTTCAAAAAATTCAGTTATTTGTATTTTTCATTGATTTTCCCTTGATGTTTTTAAGGGTTAGTTTATTTTCTTAGGACATAGAATATGTTTTTGCACTGACTTTTTCCCCCACCCTGCGTTTTTCTTTCTTTCTTTTTTTAAGTTTTATTTAATCTCTACACTCAGTGTGGGGCTCGCACTCAAGACCCCAAGATCCAGAGTCAGCTTTTTCTCCAATTGAGCCAGCCAGGTACCCCCACAATCCCACTGTGTGTTTCTAAGATGAGATCTATACAAGACAGTTAGAGGGTTGCATCTGCTGTTTTACTGATTTGCACAAACACCGCTTGTAGAGAAAGAGGCCTGAGAGCTG